TTATGTCAAATCATAAAAATCCTTTTTCATTTTGTTACAGTTCCCTATCTAAGAGGGAATGGGTGAGCTTTTTCTATTCAGACAATCACATCTCCAGGAAAGGTCTTTGAACAAACATGAGAAATAGTACAGGATTTTTTCCGCTCAACCGTCTTCAAGTTTCTAGGTTCTACAATCTCCCAGGATTTGAAATGGACACTTAACATTAGAACTATCATTAAAAAGGTAAAACTGCATCAACTCAGAAAGTTCAGACTGCTCAAGGAACTGCTGATACAGTTTTACAGAGGAATTGTTGAATCGGTCTATACTTCTATACCTTTTTGGTTTGGTACAGCATCTGAACAGGACAGGAGAGGTACAGACTTCAATGAATAATTAGGACTGCAGAAAAAAATCAATCAGAATAGAGCTGGAAGGGATCTTGGAGGTCTTCTAGTCCAACCCCCTGCTCAAGCAGGAGACCGTCTGCCATTCCAGATAGGTTGCTGTCCAATCTTTTCTTTAAAATCTCTAGTAATGGAATTGCAACCAGCCTGCCTTCCATTGAGGACCTATGTACTACAGGAGTCAGAAAGAATGCTGAGAAAATATCTACAGATCCCTCACATCCTGGACATAAACTGTTTCAACTCCTCCCCTCAGGATGCCACTATAGGGCATTGCATGTCAAAACAACTGGAACAGAGACAATTCCCCCCCCCTTCATGCCATCACTCTGCTGAACACCTAATTCCCACAGCATTGTATTATGTCTAAGGCTATTTACCCATGTAGTAAGGCTGTATTACAATTATCCTTCTCATCTTTCCCACTACCTTCCCCTATTGGTATCTTATGATTATATTTATATTACTCTGTTGTTTGTATATACACTAAGAGGTTATGTACTGAAGATAAATTCCTTGTGTGTCCAATCACACTTGGCCAATAAATAAATATTCTATTTTGTCTTGGTTCTAGATTTTCCAACCTATCATTGAAAAATGTAGAATCATGATGGATATTAAGGGGGAAAATATCAAGCCACTCCATCTATGTTTTTGCCTACCCTTTGTAAAAGATTATTTTTGGATTGTTTATTTGGAAAAAATACTTGTGCTACTGCAGTCTTGATTTACCCATTTGTGGAAAAACAATTAGATGAATATTAACTCATTTGGTGACCTTTGAATATGTCTAGATTACAATTCCTCCTGACATAAAACAGCCTTCATCATAAGCTATGGGTATTATTCAGCAATTACATGACACCTTTATAATGGAGCTATTAAATAGTTCAGTGCTGTATTGCTGAAGATTAAGAGACTTGTTTCCACACTAGGAATGATAACAAAGCCTAATCTATTATAGATACAATGCTATAATAGCATGATTAAATAAGACAAATTATTTCCTTTTTTATGCTGCTATATTGCATTCGTACCACGTAGACTTGAAAGGTATGACTAGGGCTGACAGATGTGACATGGTTCATTGATCTGTGCAATCCACAATCATATTTCTAAGTTATATAAACTGAAAATTAGAAAAGAAATTGAAATTATACAGTTCTTACTTCTGTGGTCATTTTAAATTCAGCAAAAATACTCAATCTCTCCCCCCCAAGCCCACATGCATATTAGGGACCAATTTAATTTAATTACATACGCTAACATGGTGTGGCCAGATTCACAAAATAGACTAAAGACATAGCAGGGACTATGTGGCTCCCACTCTTTGGAACATCTTGCACCCGGAGGTGAGATTGGCCCCTAACCCTCCTGACCTTTCACAAAAGCCTGAAGACCTGGCTCTGCCAATTGGCTTGGGGCCCTAATGGGAGAATATTACGCTGGAAGTGGTTGATCAATTAATAACAGATCTCACCCACCCCTCGATATATCCTGTTCCTTTCCTCGTCATCTTTTAGTTTTAATTATAATCTGATTTTCATTGTGATTGTATTGTATTTATATACATTGGTGTATGTATGTATGTGTGTGTGTGTGTGTGTGTGTGTGTGTATACATACATACATACATACATACATACATATTTATTTTGATGTTGTAAGCCACCCAGAGTCACTAGAGTGAGATGGAAGACAAATATTTAATAAATAAATATAAATAAATAAAATAAGAACTGTTAACAAAGGTAGGACTATCATGGTTGCATCTATAAATTACTAGAAGAATAAAAAATTATCTCAAAAAAGAAGAAGGGATATTGAGACAAACAAAAACAAAATTTGAAACCTTTATGTACAAAAATTTCAATAGCTATTGGATATTATCTATTAAAATATTACTGAAATATGACATGGAATAAATGAAAAATTGTATGATAAAGTGAATGCAAAACTTCAAAGGAATAATCAGAGCAGGGCAAAACTTTTTACTACCTATTCTTGGGCGTGGCCTATTTTGTGGGCATGGCTTGGTGGTCATGTGACTGGATGGATGTGGCCAACTTGATGTCACTCACCAGGAGAAGTCATGGATTGGGTAAAATGAGGTGAAGCTCACTTAACAATGCTCTTGGTTAGCAACCAAAATTTTGGGCTCAATTGTAGTCATAAGTCAAGGACTATCTCTGCCTTTCTCTGCATGGCCTAGTAAACTCCTTCTCCTTTCTGGCAATTTTCCTCTCTCTTAGAAGCACCAAAATAATCCAGACAATGTAAGGTTTCCTGTTGCATCAGGGGGTTGGACTAGATGACATAGTAGCCTTCTAGCCCTAAATTGCTCTGCTGTTTTTCTTTCTTTCTTTCCTCTCTCCCTCCCTCCCTCCCTTCTTTCTTTCTTTCTTTCTCCCTTCCCTCTGTGGGAAGCAACCCCCCCAATAACTCCTGAATGTCACTTTGCAAACTTGTGCAGCTTTTCAATTTAAAGCAGGACTCCAAAGTTTGCAGCTTTAAGACTTGTGGACTTCAACTCCTAGAATTCCACAGCGAGGCATGCTCAGTTCCGATTTAAAGCAACAGCATTTCTTTTTCTCCTTTGCTGAATCTCCCAGCAGAAAAATGAGTTTCTGTCCTTCTTTCTTTCTTTCTCCCTTCCCTTCTTTCCTTCCTTCCTCCCTCCCTCCCTCTGTCTTTCTCTTACTTTGTAAAGTTTTTTCCCCCTTGCCTGAATCAGCAGGGGAAAAAACTTTTTAAAAAAGCTTCTAATGAAGCTTCCGACAGGAGAACAGGTTCGGGGGCATGGCCAAGCCACCATTTTTACTACCAGTCCTATCAAGTACACCAGACTTTCACTACCTCTTCTGGTGTACCAGACCATATAGGGAGGAACCCTACTCTGAATCAGAGTACAATAATTGAAAGCTACAGGGGAAAATCAATAAAATAAATAAAAAGTTACAATTTAAATGAAAATTTGTACAAATGTTTTTACAATTGTTATGTAATTTCATCAATAATTATCAAGATATACAAATTAATTTACAATAAATGTTGGAAAGCTTATAACATATAAGAAACTTTCTATAAAATGTGATGATTATGTAAGAAAAACCTTGAAAAGTACTGGAAAGAAATGCATCAACATAATCAGTAAATTTTAAAAATAAAATTTGATCTAAAACCACAGATATTTTTATTGGATGCAATCCTGGAAAACATAAATGAAAAATGTAATAGTTTAGCAAGATATATGTTGAGAGCTACAAGAAAACATTGGCACAAAATTGAAAAAAAGAGGAATTGTGCTAACAGTATCAGATTGGGAGACCAACAAGAGATAATATGCAGCAATTGCAGAAATGATGGTATATACCATCATCATAGATCCCGAGGAGAAGAGCAGCCTGGACAACCATGGGATCTGGCAGGGTGAGAGCTGTGAACCATAAACACAAAGCTTTTGCTGTCACCCAGCATAACAGATATAGCGCCCTTGCTGACCCTAATGGGGACATTAAAGAGACAGGTCAAGGTAGTTGTGATAATGATGACTCAAATAAGCAGAGGATCGTGGTCCAAAATGAAGAACTTACTTTGGAAAGGCGAAATGGGGAACCAGGTATCACACATTAGTCACACAAGAAGAGCAAGGTATGCAAAAAAGAGAAGTCACCTTCTGGTTGGTGATTCAATCATAAGGGATGTAAATTTAAGAAATGATATGGAGGTTTTAAAAGAGGTCAGGTGTCTGCCAGGTGCTATTGCCAGCAGAGACAAGAGGCGTATT